GGCATCAGCTTGACGCTGACCGCGGACAACAGGCGTCAAGAAGTCGAGAAACGTCACCAAATTAGTGACGTTTAATAATAATAATATTATTATAATAATAATATTATATAATATAATATATAATAATATCATAATATAATAATAATAATAATAATAATAAAAAGGAATATTTGTCTAGAAATATATTTCGGCAAAGATCGACACTGTAATACCGACCGAAACTTTGTCATTTATTACTGCCATCTTCTGGTCGTATCAATCCTTAGGCTACTCTTGCATTTGGTTTCTACGGAAACTACAAACCAATACATATTAACGACAAACACTACATCACTTACAGTAATTGTGTACAAATATATCAACATACACGCTTTCCTGTAATGTTCTAACGGACAACAGTTTACTCCGCTCTGGAATACTGGGTTTTCAAAGTCATTTGTAATTGTGTATACTATGAAGCATGACAGACAGCTGGAGTTGTGCGAGTCTAGCTGCAACTATCACTACAAACTACCATTACGGATCAATACTGGGAACAACATAAATATTATTATCTGGTCATGAGTCCCGAGGGACTGGCAAATAAGCATGTCTGTGCTGGCGAGGACCAACAACAATTTACTGGAATGGGCTTGTCAGTAAGAAAATGCGTGAATTTTTAACGAAGAATGACAGTCATGTAACTAACATACAGAAAGTCAGTTCCTACCTCACAGGAAACACACAGATTCTCTATTATGAAGGGCAATTAATTAATTAAGTTTATGGGAACAAGCACATAAACACAATCTGTAAGCAATATGCACGATCCTTTAATGCTTAATAAAATATTGTTAAGGTTGGTTTCCTGGTTCTCTCTAGAGATTTTCTCCATAGGAACAACATAAGCCCAAACCAAACACGCCATGTTGCTTCTCCAGAACTTTTCTGACTGTACGGCATACCTTCAGTGGACAACATTACGGAAGAAAAGACTTTGTTGCTTCTCCAGAACTTTTCTGACTGTACGGCATACCTTCAGTGGA